TCGGACAAAGTTTGTCCGGGTTATTCTTATATCAATCAAGGGTTGGGCGATTAAGCCCTAAACCGCTCAAGTGTTGAACGGTTTAGTCTTAAACCAATTAAATGTCAAGCGAGTTATAATTGGTAAGAATGGTTAACATTTTGAAATGAGAAGTAGGAATACGATCATGTGGTGACCGGATTATTTTTAAATCGGTCATGCTTTGAACGATGTATTGTCTGGACTTTTTATTCGGACAAAAGATGGAATTTATTTCTAAGTGTTAAATCGGACAAGCCTTGGGTGATGAGTTGTCCGGATTTGGTAAACCGGCTAAGACTTGACCGAAGATGAAGTCCGGTCAAGTCTATGTTGACCGGATTTGTATTGTGCCTTGTGTTTGTTTGATAAAATTGTTATTTTATAATAAAATGGAGATTTGATGTAAATGATTTTTGGATTGATAATAATTTCAATGGTTGCGGTCTATTTGAAATTATTTTTGTGAAATGTTTTGATGAGGAAATAAGGGTGGCATATCAAAGAGAGGTGTACCATGGGATAAGGGTGGCATATCAAGGAGATGTGTACCATGGGATAACGGTGGCATATCAAGGAGAGGTGTACATTTGATATTAGGGTGGCATTTGTATGTGTGTTGTATGATATAACTCTTTCTATTATATCCCTTAAGACTACCGTGGTCTGGAATCTTTATTTCTTTGTGATTTAAAGATTTAGGATCAAGGTTCTTATTGGAAATTATAGTTTGGATGTTATTGAGGAGAAAATAACAGGTTTGGCTTGATATTTTAAATAACCTTGTTGATTTGAAAAGGTTTAGAAGTGGCATTATATGGAACCTAGCTGGTTCAAAGGTTTGATATTTGAAAAGTGGAAAGGATTTGGTATTTTGTTCCTATTCGTTCATATATTTGTTATATATAGTTGTTTTTTTTAAGGTTTTGGTGATTTTCACCCTGCAATATCATAATAGGGTATCTCACTAGACCTTTCGGTCTAACCCATGTTTTGTGATTTTAACTATGTGTTGCAGAATGTGCGGACGGTAAGGGAAAGGGGAAAATGTAATATTTTCCTATATGCTTTTCTACAAAGAACTGTCTTGATGTATAGTTTTGATTGATTAGTACAAGAAATGTATTTGAATTTTTGGACCTTGTATTTGGTTATAATAGATTTTTGTACTAAGGGACCTGAATGGGATAATATCATGTATTTCTTTTGTATGAAATATGTGTTGCATGAAATTTGTGGTTTGGGACGTTACATGAACAAACTCAGTGAAGATCGCTGAAACTGAATGACATAAATAATATACTTCGATCGATGAAAGGGATCATCATCAAATCAATGAGAGAGAGGATCAACAATCTCCCCTTTAAGTTATAATACTAAGGAAAAGGTACAAATAAAATACTTGTCCCTTTTAACTTTTTTAGTGATATAGTTTACTTATGTAAATTTACTTAAGTTTGTAAAAGATTACAAGTTCAAGGATAAACTGACATAAATATGATAACTGAAACTGAAAGCATATTCACTGACTAGAAAGTTGTCAGTGAATGAAAGAGAACTGGAACTCGTAAGTACTTGTCCCTATTATTTTTTTCAGGGATATTTTTCAGTGTACTTAATATTTCATTGAATATTAATCATTGGAAAATATTACAAGTCATTTATCAGTACTTGGTAGATCTATTACATATAGATTATACACTGAAAGTATAGAAAGGAAAATAAGATATTACAAGATAGAAAGATGTCTAATCTAAGTCACTGAAGTTGATATACCCAGGTACATCTTCTTCAAGCTTCTTATGTCTCAACATCACCTTTCTAATCTTGCATTCCATCACCTCTCCGTAGAAGTCATTATCTAGCCAAATCCTAAGATACTCGAGATGACCTATTGAACAGAGGTGGAACTCGGATACTCACTGGAAACTATATTCTCTATCATAGTTGATGAATATTAATCTAAACTTAGGCTTCATGTGCACAGTGTTGGGTATGTAAGGACCCTTCCTGGCAGTGTCAGGTTCAGCTTTGAGAGATCCGGCTTCTTTGGATCCTTCAGGATTTCATCCAAGAAGATTTTTGTCTCATGTTCGTTCCTATGGGATGGTCCATCATCCAGATCTGAAAGGTGTTTTCTTCTTGAGAGAGGCTTCTCTGGAAAAGGAGGGACATCAACAATCTTAAACACCTTCTTGAATAGCTCGTTCAGGATGTCATCGATTATTGGCTTATGCTTTGACTTTGAGCGTTGAATAGCTTGTTGAATCTCTAGTCATTCATCGAAGCCGTACTGCCTGAGTTAATAAGGGTACTCAATGACAGCATCTTAGTTTTCCCTGAAGATGACCATAGAAATGAGAATACCACCATCCTTCATCCGTCCGCTGAAGGTGACGTTTGAGATCCCGTGGGACTTATTCTTTTCTTGATCCTTTCATTGCACCATCTAAGGTCACGGACTTTTAGTGTCAGTGCCCTACGATGTTCTTGTTCAACTTATGACAGCAGTTGAGCTTGAGCTTTGATTGAATCCTTCTTCTTCAACTTCCCTTTGGCCATAGCTTTGACAACTAAAGACTTGGCCACCTTTAGGTTTTCTTCAATCTGTTGTCTTTGGATGCACAACTCTTCTTCGTCCTTCAGTGCTTCCTCACTTTTAGCGTCAGTGAGAAAATTGAACTCACCACAACTAGAGGTACAAAGAGGTATTTTTGCTCTGGTTTGGTTGAGTTGACTCCTTAGCTTAGTCATCCTTTGGTCGTTGAAAGCTCCAGATGTTGGAATAACATCTATCCTTTTCAACTAGAGGACCATAGGGGATCGTAGGTGCATTGAGTAGAAGGGAGGAGGCTTCAGATTCATGAGAAAAGGGTACGAACCAGGAGATCTGTGCAACCTTGGTAGGATCAATCACCTTGAAGATGATGGCGGGTTACCTTGTTCAGCCACTCCTTTATCTTTGGTGGAGGAGTGCTGGTTCCTTGTGGTTTTCTCCCCCTGGGAAGCTGACTCCCTTAGGGAGACACCGTTCTGAGCCGGAGCCAGTCTTGGATGGTACTGGATAGTGAAGTCCTCCTCATCATCGTCATCTCCAAGATCTTGTCCAGCATCAGGGAGGAGAGGATCTTCATCCACATCTTCTTCATCATCATTTTCCTCATCACCAAACTTTGATACAGAGGTTATGGGGAGGACTTCGTGAGTAGCTGGAGCTATCATGGCATCATCATCATCATTAGTGTCATCATCGTTTGTTGTTATGGCATCCTTAGTCTGAAGGATAATACCTAGCAATTCAGCATCAGCGGCAGCATCTACGTTCTCCATGGTAATTTTCTCATGCTGGTATTTCTCCCTCTCTTTGTCATTATCAATACAAGAGGTGAGATCATCAAGACGTAGGGAGCTGTCTTCAGTAGGTTGCTCAAGGTTGGAGAGAGCCTCAACTTGCATGAAGTTGAAGTCGACTACCCAGTCCAGTTGTTTTCAATTAGCTTCAGTGAATGAGGGCTCAGGGACCGGGGCCGGCTGCTAGAGAAGCGCGAGTATTTGTTGAAGCAGCTCACCAGGCAGCTTGTACTTCATTGGCTTTGTTGTTGATAGTAGTGATGGCCTCAGTGTTGGTGCATACTTCAGTTTGCACCGTCTTTAGCAAATCCTTTACTTCATAGACCTCGGCTTTGCCAGCAGAGAGGTCATGAGTAAGGTCTTCCTTCATGGGCACCGATTTGTGGAACTCGTCCATTTTGTCCAGGACGGTGGCCACAACGGGCAAGAGGAGCTTGATGTCCTCAGCCATATCATGGAAATCTGTCTCTATGGTTGTGGGTTTTGTTGCAAAAGGACCTGTAAAAGAAGGAAAAAATTGAGCATAAGAAAGCTCTAAGTTAGTAGAAATGAAAGGGTAGGGTAAAGGTAATGTACTTGAGGGGTCCTCAGTTCCATATAAAAAATTGACACTTGTAGTCTCACATGCGCTATCATGAGGATAGGCGGCAAATGTCTGAGGCGCCTTGAGAGCAGCGACCTCAGTTTTTGTGTTGAGTGCTTCATCACCAGTGGGACAACCATTGATGAATCATCAGCACGTGTAGTCAAGACCAAAGAAGAGGGAAAAGAAAAAATGGCTGAGAGATGAAGTGGGTGTTTAGCAATGGCAATGCTGATATTCTATCTTTCAGTGATCTGAGTGATTGAAGTGGTTGGCTGACTGGCCACATTTACAACAGTGTCTAAAGGGACATTAAAGAGTTGGTCATGGGTAGAGAGAGCGCCTCAGGGATAAGGCTTGTTTCAATGACTGAGACCTTTTGAGAGGTAATAGTCAGAAGTGTGGTTTGCCCCTTTTTGGCTTTCTTGGCCCTCAGTGAAGGACCAAGATTGGCTTGAGAGCGTGTCCTCTTAGAGGATAAGAAGATGGTGGTTGGGATAGACTGAGGGGGGTTTGCCTCAGTTATAACCACATGCGAAAGAGAATAAGTAGAAGAAAAAGTGGGTAGAGAGGAAGTGCCATTGGCAATGTTCTGCATCCGTGCAAAGAGGCCAATATATGTTGGTTTGGACTTATGGTCTAGAATTCTAAACCCAAGCTTACAGATTGGCATATTACCTCAAGAAGGGTAATTGTTGGCTAAGATCTTGGCGAAGACCATGCAGAGGAATCTAGTGTAAAGCACTACCTTCTCATGTTGGCGCTTGTTCAACTTTAGTACCAGGTCTTCAAAAATCAACTAGAAATAGTTGACCTTCAGCTGTTTGATTACTGAAATGTCAATGTTTAGGGCAACACGTGAAGCATGGTCTTGACCACCTGTCTTCCCTCCCATGCACTGTATGAAGTGCAAGAAAAGATATTTCCATACTGCATACATGTGGTTCTTTTCAATCTTCGTCAGCAACTTGAGGGGCTCGATGGAATACTTCTTCATTGGCTAGTTATAGCCATTATCATAAAGGGTCTTGATCATATCTTCAGTAGTTGGCTCCTTGGTGAATGGTACAGTTTTGGGGAGGTGAAGGGTAGTTCTGGCAGTTGGGACGTCGAAACTAATAGTCATTTGTTGAAGGTGAATGAGATCTTCTCCACCATGTTTCCAACCTTATCTTTTTCTTCTTTGATTCAGCAGTGAATCAAAATTGCTGAAGGAATTCCTTGAACATGACTGGATCAAAGAAAAGGGCATGGCCTAGCACAGAGTGCTTGAGGAACCTGGCTGTATCCGTGAAGTGGGGTTTGTTTGCAGGTATTTCCAGCAAGCCAACATGGTTGTTTATCTTGAAGGAGATCTCGTAGATGGAGAAATTAAGGTTCTTGGCAGCCATTTTTGTAATAAGAAAGTAAGACAGAAAGGAAGAAACAATAAGAGTTTGTTAGAAATGCACTCTATGAAAACGTTTTGTAAGAAAAAGCATCTTTTGAAAAATCCAGAACAAGATTAGGGGTTTTCAAGTAGATTAGTGTTTAGAAACTTATTTTAATATCAAGAATTAGGATGATTCTTTAATCTGTTTGTTTGTATTTAAGATAAGGAAGAATGTTCTTAAATGTTAAACAATGTTTCGAAGAGAAAGAGTAACAATCAAGTATTAAAGAATTATTAACCTGTTTCGTTTGGAAAGAAAGGAAATGGTTGAAGGTTTTGGAAGTTCTTGAGAGTTCTTGCTTGCAAAAAATCTTGAGAGAAGAAGTGCTTGAGAATTTTTGTAAGCGTAAAGAGAAATATGAGAGGGTATCTCATGTATTTATAGGTAGGATGAGAGAAAAAGATGAGAGAGGAAAATTTGACTCTTGAAAATATGTGCAAATGATGAAAAACTTTGCACGTCCTCATCATGTGATTGGATGGAATCACGTATGTCAGAGGGGCGCACGCGTATCTACATCCATTTAAATAAAAAGATTAATTATGTTATAAAAATTTGACCGTTCATTATCATTTTCTTTTAAAAGATCATTGGATATGAAAAAAAATATAATGATGGTTTTAAGTCTTTTAAAACAAGGGATCACTGAATTAGAAAGGTTCATTGATAGTTTTAAGAAAGGATATATCTTACAAGTAAGATATAATTTTGAAAGGTTCAGTGATAGAAAAAGAATCACTGAGTTATTTCACTTTTAAAACATTTTAATCACTTAGTAAGAAAAGATTGGTGCTGGTTTTAAGTTTAGAGAAGAAGATAAATATGCATACCTTAGAAAGTTGGTAGTCAGTGGGTATGAAGTGAAGTTCAATACTACCATTCATAATGATAAAATGATATTTGATCTCAATATGTTTGGTCTTGGAGTTAAGAACAATGTTGTTTGCAATTGCAATGGTACTAGTGCTATCACAATAGATAGGGATCTTTGAGAGTTGAAGATCATAGTCATTGAGCTGCTTTTTCATGCATAGGATCTGAGCACAGCAGCTTCCAGTGGCAACATATGTAGCCTCAGCAGTTGAAGTGGACATTGAATTTTGCTTCTTACTTGTTCAACTCACCAATTTTCCACCTAGAAGCTGACAGCCTCTAGTGGTGCTTTTCCTATCACCTTTACAACCTGCAAAATCACTATCTGCATAACCAATTAGGTCGAAACCTGAGTCCTTGGGATACCAAAGGCCCAGATTAGGAGTTCCTTTTAGATATCTGAATATGCATTTTACAGCAACCATATGGGATTCCCTTAGGTTCAGATTGATATTGTGCACATAAACAAGTAGAGTACATAGTATCTCGTCGACTAGTTGTGAGACACGGTAGGGAGCCGATCATTCCTCTATAAACAGTAACGTTTACAGTCTTTCCATGGGGATCCTTGTTCCACAAGAGAGGACGAGACATTGGAGTCTTCATAGATGAACTATTGGTTAAGTCGAATTTTATCAACATGTCCCTAACATACTTACTTTGATTGATAAAGATACCTTTATCTGATTGTTTGATCTGAAGACCTAGAAAATAAGTCAGTTATCCCATCATGCTCATATTATATTCTTTCTTCATGCGTTCAGCAAACCGAAAACACAAACATGGATTAGTGGAACCAAATATAATATCATCGAAGTTAATTTGCACTAGAATGATATGACCATTGACTTTCCTAAGAAATAAGGTCTGGTCAATCTTTCCACGGACAAATTTCTCAAAAATGAGAAATGAAGAGTGGGTGTCATAACAGGAACGAGGGGACTGCTTTAACCCATAAAGAGCTTTATCCAATCTAGAGCATGATATGGATATCTAGAATCGAGAAACTCTGGAGGTTGTTCAACATAAACTTTCTCTTGAAGCTTTCCATTTTGAAAAGCACTTTTTACATCCATTTGGTAGACCTTAAAGTCTCTATGGCAGCATAAGCTAGAAAGATTTGAATAGCTTTGACTCTAGACATCAGTGTGTGAAGGTTTCATCATAATCGATTCCTTCTTCTTGCATGTATCCCTGAGCAACAAGACGAGCCTTGTTTTGGGTTACATTCCTTGTTCATCTAACTTATTGCGATAAAACCACTTGGTGCCTATCACATTTTTGTCAGATGGATGCGGGACAAGGTACCAGATTTGGTTTCTATCAAACTCAGTGAGTTCTTCTTGCATAGCAATGACCCATCTTGGGTCAGTGATAGCCTCATTGATTTTCTTGGGCTTAACTAGAGAAAGGAAGTTGACAAAGAGATAGATATTACCTAGACAGCGTCGTATCTGAATACCTGCACTTGGATCACTAAGAATTTGATAGATTGGATGGTATTTCGTCCATCGTTGAGCTGGTTGAAGATGATATTTTGATATTGGGAGTTCAAGCATAGAAGATGAGGCATCAACAGATTCATCAGCAATAAGTTTGATTGCTAAAGAAGCCTCAGAGAGTGATTCAGCAACTGATAAAGGTTCAGTGACTGAAGGAGTTTCAACGAATGAAGGATTAGTATTTGAAATATAAGAGGATAAGTGACCAATGGGAATGACATCAATCATTGAAGAGGATTCAACTTCGTTACTAGTCACATGTGGAACAATAAATGGATCATGGTTAGCTTCTAAAGGGTCAGCGTTCGGTTGATTGCTGAAGGAAGCTTCAGGTTCTCCATAGTGAGATATGATCCAATTATCTAACTCTTCATCATCTTCAGAGATGGGTTTAGAGTTAGCTGATTGATACTCATCAAAGGTGACAGGAATAGATTCCTTCGTTGTTTGTCATATTTTGTTGAATATTCTGAAGGCTTTGGACACTGGAGAATAGCCAAGAAAGATTCATTCATCATCTTTGGGATCGAATTTTCCAAGTTGGTCTTTATTGTTTAGAATACAACAAGTACAACCAAATATATAAAAAGATGAGAGAAGGCTTTCTGCCATGGAGGAGTTCATAAGTTGTCTTCTTGAATCTCTTGACGATCAGCGATCGGTTCTGAGTAAAACAAGCACTGTTCACAGCTTAAGCCCAAAATTGAGTAGGGA